TGGAACCTCGGGAGATCAAACACCTAACCCGACTAGCAGATAGATGGTAGATTGACACTCAGAGAAAATGTGCTGCTGGACCCATCTTTATACCCCTGGGGGCCCATATCCTCTTTCTTATCTAAGATGCCGAATTGTACTGGTCTGTTTTGTGGCGCCAGTTCTTACAAGCAAGTTTCAAGTTAATTTACACTTGCAAGAGAGGAAGATAGCTAAATTAGGAGTGCCGGATATTTTTTTTACTGGTAAGAGATTCCTCCACCTGAGGGCGGCTGTGTGTTCGTATCAATATGGGTTTGAGTCAAGGACAACCTGAGGGTGGCTGTGTGTTCGTATCAATATGGGTTTGAGTCAAGGACACTCCTTCGCAGCCTCTTGGTCAACAATTGGCGTATCTCTGTTTACAGCCATTCATGGTCACAGCAGCCTGGGCCTTCTGCTCTGTGTGCCCTGTATGCTCCAGGCAAGCAAAAATGGATGTTACAAGGGGGTTTCCTGTCTGGCTACACAGACATATACCACTAATTAAGCTGAACTCAAAGCCTAGGGCAGGGTCTACATGAGAATTTATGAATGTGTTAGCGCAGGTTAAAGTGTTAAAACACAGCTAAAAATAACAAGCATAGATAAGCCCAAGTTTTCAAAGTCATGATTCCATATATGGGACTCTTTACTAATTAAAAACTATGCATCCATATAAATAGGTCCATAAAACAAGCTTTAATTTCAGTTTCTTCAAAATTCAAAAGTCTAGGCCTACCTGAGACTGCCCCAATTAATGTGACTAGAAAAACTTCAGGTTTCCACCAGAGCAGCATCAGGCACTCCTTGCAACCTTACCTCCATCTGGTGGCGTTCTGAATGTATTACATTAAATACCAGCTGATTTTCTCAAATCTAGGCTAAATAAAACAAGAGGCAAAGAAAGCTGTGATTTGTTATAATGTATTCTATTCATTAGAAGATGCTTAATCTTATACAGTTTGAAAATGTCATTATTAGCAAAATTAGACTATAAATCTACAATACCCAACCAATTAAGCAGTAGTTTTGGTTACTATTATGTATTTTCTGTAGGTCATCTCCTTTAAATCGCTATGCTTCTAAAACGAATAATGCTGGCAACCTGTAGAGATGTTGCAAAGAATAATGCAGTGTGCATATTCCATGTCCATTATAGTAAATTGTACAAACCTTTCAGATAAACAGTTAAAAACCCACACTCAATTTTAATATTTAATGCTTTGACTCATTAAGAGGCTCGGCCTGGTTTATAAGACAGCAAAATATTATTAAGCGGTGTGCTATAAATAAGTCACAGAAACTGGATGGTCCTAGCCTTGAGCTAGAACCAATCCTAGCAATGGGACAAACATCACAGGCTGGTGAAAAGGACAGTTTAGCCAACTACCTTAGCTGGCTTTTAAAACGTTTGGAAGACCCAAAAAGTGAGACAGCAAAGGAGGAGGTGAGAGTTTATTTAATTAATGTAGAGTGTGATAGAGCCTCAGATGTGCAAGAGTCTTTCTTTCCAAAGGCACTGGAAGAGGCAATCCCTGACCTGAGAAGGTACAGTCTAAACGCCGACGGAAGAGGATGCTACAAGAGTTTGCTGTCTTCTGCTTCCTCGGCATGGGGAGGCAGAACTCACGCCTCGTTGCTGGGCAGGCTTTCCGGCCCTGGGGCGCCTTGGGCCACTCTCTTCGCCTCGCTCCCCCATCTGCCTGCTGCTCGCTCCCCCCCCCACCCAGGCCGGGGAGCGCCGTGGAGGCGCAGGGCGGAACTAGGTACAGCCAGGAGCGCCCGTCCGCTCCCCACGTGTCCTGCGGGCCCAGCTCCGTCCTGCTCAGCCCGTCCGCCCTGC